GCCTCGGCCTCCCAAAGTGCTGGGATTACAGGCGTGAGCCACCGCACCCGGCCGCCTTCCTGCTTTCATACAGAGCCTCAGCATTTCTCACTGTAAGCATTTCAGGAAAGGGCTTCAGATAGACAAATGTGACTATAAAATGAGAGACTTCATACCATTTCTTGGTTAATGAGATAAGATTTTTCTTCCTTTTCACCATCAAGCACCAAAGCCCAAGGTTCATTGTCCTCAAGGAGTAGCCAGTTTGGGTTTCCACTTTTCCACTTACTGTGGCTGAACAAATATGATTAAAGACCTCAGTGTGCACTGATTTTACTCATGAAAACAGAATCTAATCACCTCAGACGATCAACACAACTTTCTCTCATCATCTAACAATACACGTAGTCTCAGGTTCTAATATGCATCCAAACAGCATATTATTCCTGAATGCCCAAAGGCATTCTCCTTTCTTCTAAACAAGCATTGCATCTACAGGATGCCAAAGAGAATGAGCAACAGATGTGATAGAATCTCTACCCTCACAGAACAAGCCTTTAGGACATTGATTGATTTTCCAGCTCCGAATCACAACAGATCTTCCCCATATTCTTTTCAATATCTCCATGTCGATCTCCTAAATATTAACACTTTCTCAGGCAGCCATGCGGTGACTCTCTTCTATGTTCATCCAGGTAGTCTAAGTTGAATGACTGCAAAGTTATTTTTTAACCTAACATGAAACCCCCTAAACATTTAATTAGAATGGGTAAATTGGGGTAAGTGCTTAAAAACAGTCTGATCTGGTTACAGCCCTTCAGCCATCTCTCTGTCAGGAACTGACTGGACCTTCTCTGCTGGCCAGCATGGTAGGGATTCCGAGGCGTATCAGGCACAAAAGTGTAGTACTAAGAAAATGATCAAATACTGTGACTCACTAGATGGTGTAAAATCATATTACCATGAATCATAAAATCATGTGTAGCGGAGCTATTGAGGTATATCTCCGATATCAGTGCGTATGCATTATCAATATATGTGCCACCATTTATGTTTTCTTTCTTTAGGAAGGACTCCAGAAAAGTGATAAAAGTTCCTAGATCTGGGGTGGGTGGCCTGGTTCTAGTTCTTCCCACTTATCTGGTGGGTTACATGAGCTAGGTCACCTTCAGCCTTGGCCTCCACAATTTAAAATGGGTTGGTAGCAGCTACCACCCCCCGCGCCCCCCGTCCCCCCCCCCCCGGGGATGTGGTGAGGATTAAAAAAAGATAATGTGTTCCCAGTTAGGGGCCATCTATGTTCCAGTTACCACCTGTGAGAAGTTCTCACTGCCAGCTCCAAAATCCCATTCTAGAATCTGCTTCTAATATGCTTGGGCCTCACCTGGCATAGGTCAGGTTCCTGGGAAACGGACTCTGATACAGAGGCTGGTGTACAAGAGGCTTCCTCGGGGGCGTGCTCAGGATCAGCTTCTGTGTCTTGGGAGGGAAGCAAGACCAGGCGGTACAGGCTGAAGCAGCTGCAGTAGCAGGGCCCAGCCACTCTCCCAAGGTGTCCTGGGGCTGCTCTGCCCTTCAGAGACGCCGCACTGAGGTACGATGCTCAGACCTTTCTGTGCCTCTGTGAATCAGTCATTGACAGTGGTGGGGCTGTGAACTCAGATTAGAAAACTATCTTGAGCTGCGGGAAATTCCTGGTGAGCAGTGGCACTGAGAGCCGCCAGCCGCCAACGCTCCCGGCAGCCTGGGGAAAGTGACTTTCTCTGAGGGGAAATCTGGGCGTCGCTCTAGAGCAATCATTCTACTCACCTTCTAAAATGGATGGATTTTTGGAATATTTTACAAAGCAAAATCTAACTCTACGTTCTATTCAAGAGACTTGCTTAACGAAGTGTTTCAGAGAGGCTAAAAACGAAGGGATTGGCAATGGAATATCAGGCATATGCAAATCAGAGGGGTGGGGCAGGGTGGAATTCAGGCTACCTCTGCTTTCCCCAGGTGCGTGGGGTCACCTCATTACTGCTGGGCTGGGGTGAAAGTCCTGGCTCCCCACTGGGCCTCCTCTAACCAGGATAGAATAAAAGGGTGCCTCATCCCTTCCAAGTAGGGGTAAAAATGGAAGTCTAGGCTCCCCACCGGGTCTGCACCTGACCTCAGGGCTGCAGGTAAGGGTCTCATTACTGCCTGCAGGTGCTGAGCATCCCAGTCCCTGCTTTGCCTTCTCTGACATCACCCTGGATGAGGGAGGGGAAGAGAAGGAGTATTGGGGGAGGGCAGAGGACTAGGTTCTCCACTCAGTCTTTGCTGGCTGGGATGAAGGTGGGGCCATGGTGTTTCCCTTGGCAGTTAGCTAGAGCAGGACAGTTTTCATTTAAGTATATTTCTGTCTTGCTAGGTTGTGCCTTTGCTGCTCCCTTTGCTAGAGAGAGCAGGCTTTTCTCCGCTCTTTTTGGTCCGTACCCTTGGTGTTTTTTCCCTGTTAAGCGCATTTGATCCATGAGATGTGGAACACTGAACAGTGGCCATGGCTTTCAAACTTCAGCCTTCCTGAGAACCACCTGGGATGCTTTTGGAGAAGGTTGCTTTCTGGATCCCATCCTTTGAACCACACACCAAGAGGAACTGATCTGGAAGTTCATTTGGACTCCTGTTTATTAAAATATTCTTTCATTGTGAACACTTTTCACATTAAGGATTTGTTAAAAGTCATAAAATGCTAGGTTTTGGTAGCTGTTAGCTTCTACTTCCTCAACATGCTATGGGCTATAAGTAAATACAGTTAATGGGCAGACGATTTTGAAAGTAGAAACTCCAGCAGCCTACAATTACTTGGAAAAGTGCCTTTATTCATTTGAAGCACTTGAATGAAATACACATCAGATACTAAAATCATTGTTTCATGTGACTAAAGTTGAAGCTACTCAGGGACAAATAATTCTGATTTAAAGATATCCTTTTCACCAAATTGGCCAGTAATTACATTTCATTACTTTCTATGTATAAGCAGGGAATATCATTAAAATATATACCAGTATATTTTTCCAAGACTGTTGTTGATGAAGGGAAAATTTGTAATGAAACAGATGTTCTGCTCATAGGCTACACCCCTCCTTGGGTCATTTGTCAGATTTTTAACCCTGAGGACCTCAGGGTTAGCTCCCAGGCTCTACCAAAAACTGCCTTCCTTCTCCCTGGGGGACTGGACAGTACTGTAGTCCCATCCTGTGCACGCCACTTACTGACAAAGAGAGGAACTAGTCCTTGGAGATGGGGACCATCTTTTAAATACTGTTAATGAATATTTATTGACAAGCAAAAACACAAATCTGACTATGTTCCAGTCTGTTTCTTTAAAGACACCTTCAAGGATAGTGAGTCTAATACAGGTCTCTTTCTGTTAAGGTAAAAGGAGAGATGAGAGTGGATATTGCTCTCCTTCTCTGGGAGGATGCTGGAATAAGCTAATCTTTGCTTGTGTGCCTTTCAGGTTTTGTGTGTACTTCTCAGGTTTCCCAAATGCTGTGAGGATTTGGGAAACGGATTCAGAACATGGCCACACAAACACCTAGTGGTGAAGTAGGAGGTGGCATTCAACTCCAGGGGTGGAGCTCAGGCACTGGAACAAATAGAGGACTAAGTAAAGCAGAGCTGGGGTGGAAGCAGCTTTCAATCAAGCATGCCCACCAGTGTGCCATGTTAATTTACTGTTGCCATGGCAGCACCTGGGAGTTACTGCCTTTTCCCATGGCAATGACCCAATGACTCAAAAGTTACTACTCCTTCCCTAGAAATTTCTGCATAAACCAACCCTTAATCTGCATGCTATTAAAAGTGAGTATAAATATTAATATGACTGCAAAACCGCCCCAAGCTGCTACTCTTCACCTACGGGGTAGCCCTGCTTTGCAGGAGCAGTCATGGAACCATAACCCTGCTGGAGCTATAATGTTGCCTCTTTGATAAAACTGTTTTCTTCTACCTCCAGTCTGCCCTTGAATTCTTTCCTGGGCAAAGCAAAGAACCCTTGCAGGCTAAGCTCCACTTTGGAGCTTACCTGTCCTGCCATTAGCAGCTCAGACAGCAGACATGTGGCTCCTGTGATTTCATTTTAGCCTTTCATTTGCAAGCTACAATCCAAACGCCACAAAGCCTAGGCCCAATTTATTCCCATTGAAACAGAATGATTAAAGCTTGTTGTGATAAGTAAATGACATGTTTGATTCAACTGACCAGTTAGAGTTTTAAAAAATGAGTAGTGGTTTCGTGACAGTTTATTTTTCATAAGACTCTTGCCAAGAGCTGAAAATAATTTCTCATACCATCAGAGGACAAAAACAGAGATCCACTTAATAGCATCTGATGATTAAACAGTCAACTTCAAAAAATAATCTTTAATTTGGAAATGGGGTATAGAGAGATAACCCTGCTCTTTGTAACATTTTGTACACTTTAAGACAATGATCAAGTTCTTAAGAGTAAAGAATTAGAAAATGCAACGTTTGTAGCCAGCAAAGAGTAATTGCCTTATAAGTTTAGTAATCAGAGAAGATTTACTTAGTAACGAACCTTAGAGAAGCAATCCCTTCTGGCTATTTCTTTGACCTGTCTCTACATGGATAACTTCTGATTTTTCAAACATTATTGAACAGGAATAGACTTTGCTTTCTACAGATTCACATGAATCACTGAAGAGTCTCCTTCTGAGCAGTGGCTTTGTGGATCTCCAGTGGCCCCACCATATGGAAATGCTCAGTCTGCTCTTCCTTGGACTCCACAGGGCCTGTACCTCTCCTACTTTGCCCTGCACAGCCCTGGGAGCAGCGAGAGGCATAGTCCCCAACTCTGCACACTGCAACCTTACACTGTAAATATACTACATCATAGCTGTCAAGAAAGCTGAAGGCGTTGAACTTGAATTGAGCCATGTTCTTCTGGCGGGGGTGGAGGTTGACGTAGGTATTGTCTTTGATGCACCTGATGGGGAGAAAAACCCCAGGACAAAATGATTAACTTAAAGCATGATATGAGTTCACTGTAACCCAGATAATTAGGCATGGACCCAGATCTCTGAATTGCAAATGGAGTTCTTCCCACTACCCACTCTTTCTTTCATAAATAAGCTTTTTAACACTACTATGAGTGGAAAAACCACTATTCCTGGCCATAAATGGAAAGGAACTAGAAAATAAACACAATAAAAACAAAACAAAGTAATTTAATTCTAGGTAAAACGCTTGCCTTCAAAAGGCCTATTCTATTTTGTGCAAAGAGAGATTAAAAGTGTCAGTGGTTTTATTTGAAGGCAAACTTAGATAATTTAAAAATGTAAATCTGTAAACTCCAGGGAAACCACAACAAAAAAAAATTAAGAAAAGAACTGATGCAACAAGATGAGATAAAATGAGTCATATAAAATGTTCAATTAAAACCAGAGAAGGCAGCAAAAGGAGTGTGAGGAGACAAAGAACAAATGCAACTAATAGAAAACAGTTACCGAGATGATAGATTTTAATCCAACGATGTCAAGAATGGTCTAAATATACCAATTTAGAGACAGAGTAGATTAAAAAACAAGTCCCAACTATTTATTGTCTACGAGAAACCCACTTTAAATATAAAGACACAGACAAGTTAAAAGTAAAGGAATGAAGAAAGATATACCATGCAAATACTAATCAAAAGAAAGGTGTAGTAGCTACATTAATTTCAGAAAAAAACAAACTTCAGAGCATGGTAATTATCAGGTAGCAAGAGGGGTATTATCTAACAAGAAAGTGGTTGGTCCTCCAAGAAGACACAATAATTTTTCATGTGTAAGCACATAACACGGTTTTGTCTCAATGTATTTTGGGACAAAATACATTGAGACAAAATACATGAGACAAAAATACATGAAACAAAAACTGATAGAAATGCAAAGAAAATCAACAAATCCACTATAATAGTTGGATACTTCAAAACCCCTCCAATCGTAGTTGACAGATCCAGCAGGAAGAAACTCAGTGAGGATACAGATGACCTAAGCAACACTCTGAATCCACCACATCCAATTGACATTTATAGAGCCCTCCATCCAGCAACAGCAGGACACACACTCTCGAGTCCACATGGAATATTAATATTAATCAGAACAGGCCACATTCTGGGCTATAAAAGACACCTTAACACATTTAAAAGAACAGAAATAACACAAAATACATTATCAGATCACAGTGGAATTAAACTCAAAATTAATGACAGAACAATTCCAGGAAAATTCTCAAATGCTTGGAAATTAACACACTTCTAAGTAATGATGGGTCAAAGAAATCTCAAGCGAAATTAAAAAACATTTTGGACTAAGTGAAAATGAATAAACAAGTTATCAAAAATTTGTGGAATGCAGTTAAAGCAGTGCTTAGAGGGAAATTTATAAAATACATGTTAGAAAAGAAGAAATAACTAAAATCTATAGACTAAGCTTTGAAAACTAGAGAAAGAGGAATAAATTAAGACTGAAGCAAACAGGAGAAAAAAAGTGTCCGTTGTTAAATTCTGGCACCAAACTGAGCCTCTTGGGTGATAGATTTATAAGGGGGGTTGAAAGGGAAGAGCTTTCTCACTCTGTGGCTCAATGCAGTTTAGTGCCACCTCCGTGCACCTCTCACACCATGGCTTACACTGCCCGTGGAAGGTGCTGTGTCCTGTCCCTCCCCTGGCTTTTGGAGATGGGCACCACAGTGCTCTCCATGGTCTTCAGGCTGCTGTGGTTCTCACCACTCTAAAGCTGCCATTGAGTAGTAAGTGATGGATTTTTGTTGTTTTCAGATTTATTGCCAACTGTACTTTGCCCTTGTTAGGGGACAAGAGAGCTATAATGGCAAGCAATTGGCCAAAGTTCTAACTTAGCAAAACTTTTGGTTAACCAAAGGAGCCAGAATAAGTCTCACAAGTATAATTAAGATCTCAGTTTGGGATAACCCATTAGTTCAGTGTAGGCCAATGTCCCAGGCCTGCACCATGAATGGGGAGTCCATTGAAGTCATACGACTAGAAGGGAAGGAGGCATGGACATGAGAGGGTGGGGTGATGCAGCAGAGCCCACCCAGGGCCACCAGGGCCCTCCCCAAGACTGTGGGGAATTAAGGGAAGCTGTCTATAACTGCTTGCCTGTTACCATTTGTCCTCAACTGGGATCAGAGGATGGTGAGGGCCCCCACTCTGCCTCTGAGACACAGTGAGGACTCTTTGCACAAATTTCTAATGTAGGAATACCAGTTGAGAAGACACAGATTCCCTAAAGGCATGCCAGGTGAATATAATAGTCCACCCCAGAGGACCTTCCATCTTCCTTACCCCTGCCGGATCAAATCATACTTGATGGTTGTAAAATCATGGGGATCTGGAGAAGCCACACAAGTATCCACGAAGAGCATCAGGCTGGGATCGGGGCTGTTCAGGGTGGCTTGGAGGAAGACCTCTTTCCTCTGGCTGGCATAGTAGGGTGCCACGCCTCCCACATGCTGGGACTTGGAGGACTGGAGGAAGGATATGGACACGGTGTAGCCAGCACCCTCCATCAGGGTGTCATCCCCATGAATGATTTCAACTGTGGCTGGGCCGTCCACCCTGCAGGTGAACTTCAGCTCGGGGACCTTGTGCCGCACAATGACTCGGTCAGGGTGGCCCCATGTCCGGCCTCTGATGGAGTTGGAGTAGCTGAGGGAGCCAAGGTGCTCCTGTGAGGATGAGAGAAGAGTTGTGGGCAGCACTCTTGGCTCCTGACAAGCACCTGCCTCTGTGAGCTGAGACCTCTCATTCCCACCCCACTTGGCGCCAGCTTGCTGACTTGCTGGAGGGAGGACCTCTCAGGGCCAGACCTCTGTGGTACTTAACACCTCAAAGGGATGACATGCCATATAAGGTGCATGCAGGGAGTCCCCAGTGGGCAAGTCTGGACTGCCCCTTCCATCCTGTAAGGGCCAAGCTGTTGTGCTAGCTATGAGCTGGGGTGGCAGGCGCAGCTGTCTGCTGAGTTCCTCCACAAGCTCCATTCCTGCAGGCTCCCGAAGGCCACCCCCACCCCCATCCCTGGGGCTCTTGTCCTCTCTTTCATCTCTCCCCTGCCCTTGACTCCAGACCAGCACTGGCTCCATGTGAGCTGTGGGTCTGGCCCTGCTGAACTTCACTCCCAGCCTTGAAATCCAACGTGACTTGCAGGAGGTAAGTTTGTGCTGTGGCCGACAGGCAGGGGTCCCTGCCTCTCATGCCCTGTGTAGATGCCTAGAGGCTCAACCTGCCTGGGAACATTTGCTCAAGGAAGCCTCAGCCTGTGGGACTCAGATCTTGTGACCTTCTGACTGGAAGCTCTGAGAACTGCCCTGTCAGCTTAGGCCAACATTTCTCAACCTTTTTTCCACCATGGCCCCATTGAGGAGCTTCTGTAGACATCTTACTCATCCTGCCCTCTTCAAACCCTGACTATGAATTGTGATACAAGATACAGTTTATATACTGGCTGTTTATCTTGGCTTGAGCCAGAAAGATATCTCTATCTATCTATCTAACTCCTATAAGAGCGAATATCAATATCCCCCCTACCCATAAGGGTGATATTACCCTCCTTGAGAATGCCCAACTTATAATAAAAGTCAAATTCCTCACCCACATGGTCCTGCCCCCACTTCCACTCTGATCTTGGGCCTCCTTGTCTCCAGTCTCTTCCTCCAAGCCCCAAGGCTGCAGCTGCCTCGGGACCTCAGCCCTGGCTGATCCCCACGTCCTCTGCCTGGCTGCCCCAGACCAGGGCAGGCTCAGCTTCTCAGCCACCAGCCTATTCAACACGGATTCTCATCCACTCCAAATGACTTTTTAATCCTCCCTTGTTTTCCTGTCTTCTTAACTTCTTTTGGTGTAAAAAGAACTCTGGTTGTGTGTTTGGTCTGATCCTGTCCCCCATTTCGTGAACGTAAGAGCCGTGGAGCAGGAACCCTCTCAGTCTTGTGGCTGCTGTGTCCCCAGCACCTAGAAGGAACTCATCCACTGACTCTGAAATCGAATACAGGACCTCTGTGCAGCAGTGTTTTCCTTTTCAGTGCTCCCTGACCGTACTGACTTCTGGTCCCAGCACCCTGGTCAGCTCATGGGGTTTTCAGGGAAAGCTGAGCCAGCAAGGACAGAGAAAACATGTGCAGGGTCTTCCCTGATGGCCCAGAAGCTTCCCTGGGGGTGCCCACTTCACAGACACAGAAGGTATGGATCCCGGGGCAGGAACCTCTGAGGTAAAAAGTAGAATTTTCAAAGCAAAAAGGATAAGAACACCGACTTTACTAAAAATACAAAAATTAGCTGGGCGTGGTAGCACACGCCTGTAGTCCCAGCTACCCGGGAGGCTGAGGCAGGAGAATTGCTTGAACCCAGGAGTCGGAGGTTGCAGTGAGCCGAGATCGTGCCATTGCACTCCAGCCTGGGTAACAAAAGCGAAACTCCGTCTTAAAAAAAAAAAAAATTCTGTGGTTATACACCCTCCCTGTCTCTGGTGTACTTGTTTCCTTAACTTCAATGCCATTGTTTTGTGAAATAAACCGGTGGTCAAAGAAAATTAAATAAACATATATATGTCATTATTCATAAATGTCCTAAACGTTTGCTTTCTTGATCATGGAATGTACTTAACTACTTAGAAACCTAGCAGTCAGATAGGCAAGTGGACAATCTGTCTTCTCACATGCCTGGCATCATAGTTTGCACATGGTAGGTGTGCACCAATGCTCAATCAAGAGCCATGTGTGGAAAATGCATTGCCTCTAGAGTGAAAAGACTATATCATCCATCCATCCATCCATCCACACATCCATCCACCCATCAGCACTCAACACTTGTTACTGTGTATCCTAAATTCCCCAAAGGAAGGAAAGTTTCACACAAACCAATGAGCTACTCTCTCTCTTACCAAACTCAGATATAAAGTTATGGCTTGCACTTTCCCTCTGTCCTTACATAGTTTTTAAATAGGTGGTTGAATTTCCCAAACTTTTCACCCTGGCATAATCCACAGAAGGGAAGCACCACCTGGGAAGTGTCCTACCTGCTGGATGGTGCCACAGTGGCCATAGGGAATATTGAAGATCAGGTAGCGCCCCATGACTTGGGGACGACATAGCTCATCATTTAAGTGGATGTCCCAGGAGGAGTAGCCCAGCCTCCGGAGATAGCCTCGGTCAATGACAGCTTGGAAGAGGTGAGGCAAGCAGGATAGCTGGGCTGCAGGAGGGGAAGATGGAGAAACCCTCACAAAGAGAAACTGGTACACTGGCCTTGCAGGTCTTGGGTGTGGGTATACCTTTACTTTATAAAACTACCATAAGCTAGGGCTGGCTCAGCTCTCCTCACACCCAACCTTTGACTTGACTTTAATTAATTTTACTTATACCTACCCTTTTCCAAGAAGGCTTTGAGGTCATGCAACACCCACGGGGAATCCTAACCATAGCCCGTGTTCCGTGCACAGCTCATTTCTCATGTTGAGAACTCTGTGCCTGAACACCATCTATCTGGGTCTTTGTATAGAGGTAAGTTGGAAAAAGGGAGCCTGGGTGCAAAGGGGCTTCTTCCCAACCTCCTAAAACCCAGAGAGTGGGTGGAAATCCAGAGATCTCAGTGGGAACACAGAAGCAGGTACCGCTCACAGCCTATTCTTTCTCTCTTACTAGGCTGCTCTCTTAGCTCCCCCATCAGCATCCTTAGCCTCAGATCCTAGAGGGGAGAAGACTTTACCATTGTCCTTAGGCACAAGAGAGTCAGCTGGACCTGGTGAGAGAAGGACGAAAACAAATGTCAACTGTGTTGGAACACTGCAAGAGGAGGATGCAGCTGGTAATAGACATGAAGTGCAGGGGAATGGCCTCATTTGATTTCACTACTAAAGCTGGGGTACAGTGGCGTGAGAATATTCCAGGGCATGCAAAGAAAAGGAGGACCCAGGGCCTCCTGATGGAGCTGGAGCCTAGCATTTATCAAGTAGAGTTGAGAATACATGTATCATCAATTCCAAGATTTATTGGAGTGAGAGAATAGTAGACACATGGCTTCTAAGGTCGTAATGCTATCCCGTGTATAAACACTGACTGGTGTCCTTTCCCAAGCACATGACATGCTTGGGGCCTCAAGCTGGGAAAAATGTAATTCGCAGATATCAAAGGCTTCTATAGCTCTGAAGCAAGGCTGGACAGTACCCAGGGCCAACACCCAGCCCAGAAAGCATGGCCAGCCAGGTTCACTGAACCCCTCAATGACTGACCAAAGGACCCACTTGGCATATAATCCAAGAATGGAAAATGGATTGTCATTTAGAATCTGCCCCCCTGACAGCATCAGGAATAACTGGAACTAGGAACTGACATGATCAAAACAAGGATCTGGAAGTGAGGGCCCCATGACCCTAGCACACACTCATACTCCTTGGCTTGGTGTGATTCATGTCTGCCTTCAGGGGGCTCTGACAGCTTTTCTGTTTGGGTCCCATGTCTATGCAAAACAAGGCAACACCTGCAAAGGCAAAAGCAATGGCAACACTTCCTTTGATTTACCCGTAAAAAACTAAGAATGGAATAGACCAGGTGAGCTCATATCTGTGTTTCAAATCTTAGAATTCCATAACTCCTTGAGATTTAGGGTAAGTTTAGGACACATGTAAGGAAGCACTGCTCCATACAGAGGGAAGTCAACCTCTGAAAGTCAGAATGGCCAGGCAGAAGATGGGTGGTAAAATGCATTCCAGGAAAGGTATAGGCCAAATCTTGGACGAAAGGGACATCAGAGGAGCCCGGGCTGCCCATGCGGTGTCTCTCTAACTTCTGAGGGTTGGGTCCATGGGAGGAGGAGTTCCACCCAGAATTGTGCTCTTGAAGCCCTCCTCTGAGATGGACAGAGGGACTGGACAAACTGTAGACAAACAGCAGCAATTTCGACGGCCTTAGTCATTTTGTTACACCGCCTCTTCTTCCTTTTTCCCATCACCGTTTAGCTGTATTTCAGAACCAATACTGCGCTGAACAGGCATCACAAAAGTGATGAGTGCGCTCGCCCCTAAGCCTGGATGATTAAAATGTTTACCACCAAGGGTACACAACCACCATGCCCTCAGTAGCCTAGGATCTGGGACCGCGGCCACACTTGACTTCCGCAGGATGGTGAACTTTGACTCTAGGAATGTGAGGTGAGAAAAGGCAGAGTGGGCAGGGGTCGTGGTACCTGCGCACACCACGCTCGCGTCCTCGCGGTGCTGGCAGTTGTGCCGGCCCCAGCCCGAGTGGGCGCAGTGCTCCAGCGCATCCTCGTTGCCGGCGCAGCGCACGTCGTCCAGCAGGATGGGCCCAGTGCCCTGGCCGAAGCGGCCGCGGCCCGGGGCACCCAGAGCGCGGCCGCAGCCCAGGAGGCGGCACACCACGCGGGCGTTCCTGATGTTCCAGTGGTCGTCACACACCGTGCCCCACACGCCCTGGTGCTGCAGCTCCACCCGGCCCTCGCAGCGGCTCCGCGCGCCCGCCAGGCGCAGGGGCGGCTCTGCATGGCGAGAGAAACGGTCAGGTGGTCAGGTTTCCATCCTGGACTGCATCGCAGGGTGCCACTTGCTATTTGCAATACGAACTGTTTCTGCTTTTGTTGTTCTCTAACACACACACACACACACACACACACACACACGCCCCTCGGTGCCACTGCTATTTGCAATATGACCTGTTTCTGGTTTTGTTGCACACACACGCACGCGCACACACACGCGCACACACACACACACACACACACACTGTCTCTCATACAGTAAAGCCTTCATTATCTGAAGCCCTCAGGAATGGCCCTGTGGGCAAGCCTAGTTTTCCAGGTACCTAAGAACTTAATCTGTAAACAAAAATTAAAACACCCCAAAAAACAAAGCAAACAGGCAAAACAAAAACCATAAAACACTTTCAAATCTTTAGGAGACAGTTGTTCTAAAATGAAGCACTGCCTTGACTCATCAAACATGTATCCAGTGAAATAACTTTTACTCTGGATGAGTAAGAGCTCATATGTTCACTCTAAAAACCATATTATACAACATAGCTCTTCCACTTGGCATTTACTCAAGATGAACAAATGTCCATGCCCACAGAAAGATCTGGAGGTAGCAGAAGCATCCACAGTAGCCCAAATCCAGAAACAATGCAGGTGCCCATCCACAGGAGAGAGGGTAAATCATGGCGTAGGCACACAGTGGAATATTACTAAGGAGTAAAAAGTAACAAATGACCAATACATTTGTTCCTTTATTAATCTCAAAAACATTTTAAATGAAAGAAGTTAGAAACAAGAGATCACATGTTATTTGATTCCACTTATATGACAATCTAAAAAAAGCAAACCTATTCCACAGTGATGGAAGGCACAGCAGTGGTGGCCTGGGGAAGGTGGGAGAGATTTACTGAGAAAGGGCATGAGGGAACTTTCTGAGGTGATGGAAATGTTGTCTATCTTGATGGTGGTGGTGGACAGTTGTGTTGGTTAGACAAAACTCATAGATGCATGCACTATGTTTACAAATTATACTTCAAAAAGGTTGATTTAAAAAATAAAAACAATAAAAAATAAAATCTATATTATGTTGGTGGTGTCATGCCCACAGACATGTGTAGAATGATTTGTTTTTTATATTGGTATGTTGTGACTGCATCTTTCAATTTTCTGCTCTCTTTGGCACATAGAAGATGCTTAGTGAATGTTAAACACCACGGGCTTCTGTTTCTCTGTGACTGCAGCATGCTGGTCTAGGCTGGTTGCCCTCTCCTCATCTTATTTATTGCTGTAATATTGGAAGGAAGATAACCATCCTTGTTTGAACTATGAATAAGAGTAAATGTCTTCTGGGTAAGGTTTTGGAAAGTGAATTTTGGGATCCCAACCCACAAAGTGCACGTGTATCCACACACACACCTGTGTCTGCACACATACACCTACAAGCTCATAAAATTTTCCTGTAAAGAGTAAGGAAGTTAAATGAAAAAGAAATGTAATCCTAACAGTATTAATAGAGTTATGATCATTTTAGTGTTCAGAAACAAACATAAATTACCAAGTACAGGGGCCATCTTTTCATCAGCTGAAATTTTCACTGTAAATAAGAAAAAAAAAAAAAACTTTAAAACTGTGTATTCATATTCATACACAAAGCTGAAAAAGAACCAAACATTTGCTCTAATTTCAGATACTAATACATTGTTTAAGTTCCCACTCTGGTTTGGGTGCAGAAATATTATCCATTAAGTTTTATTTTCTTGCCATCAAAATGTATTTCTTGCCGCCAAAATGTACTAAATTACAGCTTGCTCACCTGTAATCCCAGCACTTTGGGAGGCTGAGGTGGGAGAATCACTTGAGCCTAGGAGTTCAGGATCAGCCTGGGTGACATGGTGAGATCCAGCATCTATAAAAAATTTAAAAAATTAGCTGTATGGTGGTGCACACCTTCAGTCTTAGCTACTCGGGAAGCGAAGGTGGGAGGATCACTTGAGCACAAGAGATCAAGGCTGCAGTGAGCTGTGATGGCACCACTGCACTCCAGCCGTGGGAACAGAGCAAGACCCTGTCTCGGGGAAAAAAAAAAGTAGTAAGTGGTGCTGTATCCTGTTTATTTTCCAGATATAAAATAATGAATTAAATGGTCAGAAAAGAAGCTTTATAAATATACTGAATTTTGCAAGGAAGAATTTAAAAATTATATTTTGTAGAAAATAGTTTTATAGGGGTTGAAAATGAAGCCAAGAAAATCAAGTGAGTTTCCTCAGAAATATTTTTAGATAAGAGAAAAGCCACATCTGAGAGATGTAATTCCACAGTAACATATACAGAGGAAATCCTGGTAGAAAAATTAACAATGGAGTTTATGAAAGAATATGGTAGTGTAAACAATAAAATGAAGCATTAATCTAGCAACAGGCATACGATCATTACCAGTTGATGGTGTCACTTTGGTTGAAATTAGATCTGCGGCTGCCAAAAAAAAAAAAAAAATTCTCTTTGAAAAGAAAGCATTAAAATTTGTCTTCATTGAAATTTTACACTGTAGACTAGAAGTGTATGAAAATAAGCCTGTTTCATTAGTGATATGCCATAGAAATCCACCCCGTGCATTTATCTTGTGGATTTACACTTTCAGGCATGAACTGGAGTATGAGAAGTTGGCATTTTGCGAGGGACATTGACAGCTGTCATTTTGAACATCTACAATGTATCAGATAATTTGTATCTCTAATCCTCACAACAAATGTTTTAGGTAAGTATTGTCATATTTTGGACGTGAGGAAATGGAGACTCAGGGCTTGTATAGCGTGCTCAGGTTATCTACAACTCAAGCCCGCGAGGCCCCAAAGCATGTATTCTAAGCATTTTGCGTTTGAGGAGCATAGCTGTGGGAGTCTCCTTCACCTGGGCTCCTTGTGGCTAACGGGGGTGAAGGGGAAGGAAGGGAAGGGTTTAATGGTCACCACGCCTTTTCTCCCACTCCAAGTGGCCCTTCCCAAACAGGAAGTGATTTCACTGGCATGCCTTCACAAAGGACATAAAACCTGCAAGTGTCACCTAATCTGTCACCAAACCAACCCAGTTATCATCAACCAGATCCACAAAGAAAAGGTTGTCTCATGTGATGTCAAGAGTCAGTGAGAATTACAGGCAAAGGAATCTTCTGACGAAAGTAGAGTTATGGTGTGGGTGGGAAGGAAGGAAGGAAGTGAGGAAATGAGGAATGGAGGTAGGAGGAAAGGGAAGGAGAGAGGGAGGAAGGACAGAAGGAAGGAAGAAAGGAAGGAAGGGAAGGAGGGAAGAAGGAAAGAAGAAATAGGAGAAAGGGAGGGAACGACGGAGGGAGGAAGGGAGGAAGGCAGGAAGGAAGGAAGGAAGGACGGCCGGCCAGCTGACTGGCCACACTTAAACATAAGTGAAAAGAAAGTGCTGAACTTTGGTTTCATTGAATTTTACCCCCATGTCTTCAAAGTACCCAAGACTTGAAGTAAAAAAATTTAAAAAAGAAGAAAATAAATAAAATAGAAGAAAGCAGCAGAGCCTTGTTACTGAAGATGTCAATATCATAGGGATTTGGGAGAATCACAGAGATGGATTCATCAGCAGAACGTAAGAGCAGAAAGGACTTTGGACAGGAGTCAGGACACCTGGCTCTGCCTCACCCTAGCTCTGTGACTTTAGGCAGATCTCTTCCTTCTTTAGGCCTCATTTTCCTCCAAAATGAGGGTGGTGGTTCAACATCTTCCTCCACAACCAGGTCCATGACCAGCAGCAGTGGCATCACCTGGGAGCCTTAGAAAAGCTCCACCTGGAGCCACTGAATTTGCATTTCACAAGTTCCACATAAGGCTCATACACATATGCACATTTGGGAATCCCTACTCTAGACCATCTCTTAGTCTTGACATTTTAAGCTATTTTACCCTATGTATCCTCTCCCCAGCATCCATCTACACTGCATTCAGTTTCATGACTAGCAATAGAGGCGTGTCCTGGAATCCTCTGGGGAGTTGAGTGGACTCTGCTGACCTCTCCTCTCTTCTCCCCTGACCTCTCCTCTCCTCCCCTGACCTCGCCTGGGGAAACAGAAGTGTTTATTCTGGGTGTGTAAACTCTTGCTGGGCTGAGCATTCTCAGAAAGTCACTCATCAGGGCTGCTGCAAGGAGCAGGGAGCATACCGGGTGAAGAAGATACTTCAGCTGCAGCGGAAGTCATATCTGCAAATGCAGAGGAATGTTTTGGTTTGACCAACTACACAGTGGAAAACAGAAGAGCAGATGGATAGAACTAACCCTATCACAACCCAGTGTTTTCACCTGTGTGTTCAGGTGTGCTGGCTGGGTCAGAGCATCACCTGAAACCTGACACACATAGCCAAGCAGGAGAGGGTGGACCCCCAGCCCTGGCCTCCCGTGGGCGCATCTGATCAACACCAGTGCAGCAAGCAGAAGGCGTGCCCTGGTGGAGGGGCCCCTTCTGTGTCTATGGATGAATGAAGAGAACATGAACATCAGTTTCTGTGAAAAGGATGCTGGAGTTTCTGTTTACATTGAGGCTCATACCATAGACAGAACAGCCAGTACCTATATATGCTCATTTGCCACAGAGAAAGAGAAAAAAAAAAGTTGATCATATTGAAATTTAGAAATGCGGCAGGCAGAAAACATTACCAGAGGGTGTGTCCACTTCTGCTGAAGTTGAAGATGCATCTGTGCATTAACAAAGAGAGCAGGACACAAACATGAGTGGAAAAGGCTGGCTGTGTCTTTTCAATGAGATTAACTTTGCAGTAAAAATGATCATTACTGAGGCTCATTTTCTGAATAGAACATGACATACAAGAAGCTAGTCTCACTAACTTAAACAGTACCACGAGAGAGACCTTACCAGATGGAGAGGTCCCTTCCGCTGAGGTTGAAGAGATCTCTAGAGATAAAAGGAAGAAGAGACATATACTAGTGGAGGGGACTCCTGGGTTTCTGTTTTTACTAAGGCTATGTTGGGGACAAAAGTTTTGAATTCCATGTTGATAAACAGAACTCCAAGAAGAGGCACTGACAGAACAGCAGACAGAGTGTTCTACCTGGTGTGGAGGTCTTGGCAGCGGAGATGGAAGCTGCAAGTGAACACAAAGGACAAGGCAGCATTAAGACAGTCTCATCGGGCACACGCACCTCTACAAGGTGCAGGAGACGGGAAGTTGGTGTCCTGGATTAGAGTGACTGCCAGGCTTGTCCTCCTGCTCTGCAGTCAGGAGCCATGGCAAGGCAGCTCCAGAGCCCCCACTGCCTCTGAGCCACTTCTCCATTCCTTCCCGTGGGTCTCCATTCCTCTTGCCAAAATGCTACTTCTTCCCATGGATGTAGAAGTGACCATCTGGGGAGCCACAGCCACGGGCCAGGTTTCTCAGTGGTATGGAGCTAATCTAACAAAGATCCTGTGAGTGGGGACTTGCTTTCCCGGCCTTTCTCCTCCTTTCAAATGGCTGGAGGCAGTGACCCAGGAAAGATCAGCTTTGCAGACTGGAACTTTCCCTAGCTGGGCTGTCCCAGGATCTAGCTGAGGGTGGGGAGGGGTGGCAGGTCCATTTGTCTTTTGTACTGTTTCCTGCCAATCCAGCTTTATCAGTAATAAAGGCCTCATTTTGGTGCTGAATCTGATGTTTTATACCTCATTTGCTTCAGCACCTAGAACAGGGAAGACCACCATCCTTATTATCCCCCTTCCTTCACCAAAAACCCCCCACAAATTTCTCTACACTCTATCTGTGAAGTTCATGAACCCGGAGTCACATTAGAAACTCCTTGGGTAATTCCAACCAGCATTACTCAAAATCTGTTGTCTAAGAGATGAGTTACTTGCTGTCTTGGTCAACTCTGCGTCCCTCTCTGCCTTGGTCCTCCTCACTGAATGCTGGTGAATGTCAAGGAGGATCAGGGAAAACCATGGCTTGACTTCTTTCCATTCTGGCAACACTGGTTGTTGGCTGGTCTCCAGGAGAAGCTTTCTGCACAGACTCAAGTAGGTGATTAACTTACACCAGTGGTCCTTCACCTTTTTGGCACCAGGGGTCTGTTTTTGTGGAAGACAAATTTTCCACGAATGGCAGGGAGGATGGGGGATGGTTTTAGGATGAAACTGTTCTACCTCAGATCATCAGGAATTAGTCAGATTGTCATAGGAGCACACAACCTAGATCCTTCACATGTTTGCAGCTCACACAGGGTTTGTGCTCCCATAAGAATCTAATGCTGCCACTGATCTGACAGGAGGCAGAGCTCAGGTGGTGATGTCCACTTGCCCACCATTCACCTCTTGCTGTGTGGCCCAGTTCCTAACAGCTATGGAGCCCTACTGGTCTGTGGCCTGGGGGTTGAGGACTCCTGCCTTAGACTACCTGTCAGTCACTGAATGTGTTCATGGAGTCAACTTGGCCTAATGGATTGAACAAGTTTTTCCCTTGGCTTATGCATTTAGCTGAGTTGTCCAGAATTCACTGACCATTGGGGGATCAGAGATGGCCTTTAAGAGTAAGGTCAATATAGACATATTTTAAAACTCAAAAGATTACTAAAAATTAAAGAATTTAACCAGGACATAAAAAGTTATTTAATAAATTCACTGGGAAACCAAATAAAATAAATTATAGCAAGCAAGATGGAACCCAAAATAACACTTAAATTACCTGCTGAGGTGGTTAGAGCAGTATTCAAAGATTCTGGAAATGAGAAAAGGCAATTGGTCAAAACCTACCGAATGGCAAACAAATTTTGTTTCATAGTTCATTTGTTTTCTTTTCTCTGTCCCTAGAACACAGAAAACATGACCTTCATTTATTTGACA